ATGGATAATTCCATGCTCTTTGCAGAATTCTTTAAATAACTTTGATTTATATTCGCCTTTTCTATCTGATCTGACTATATTCAAATATTGACCGCTTTGCTTTTCCGCCATTGCTTTAAATTCTTTCAATTTTTCCAGCACTTCTGACTTTTATTTCAAGAAATAAATACAACATTTTCTATTAAAATCATCAATAAAAGTTAGGTAGCACCTGTTACCACCAAGCGATGGTATATCAAAAGGACCGGCTATATCTGTGTGTACTATCTCCAGCAGTCTTCGGGCACGCAAGGATTTACCAACTTCAAAGCTTTGTCTATGTTGCTTTCCTTTAATGCAAGCCTCACATAATTGATTTGGAGGGCTGATCTCTAGTAGTCCTTTCACCATGCTTGTTTTTATAACAACTTCAAACCAGAAACTCCAAGATGTCCATATCTTAGATGCCATAACCATGAATTATCTTTGATCGTGGTCTTCATACACTTGACTTCTCCCGACTCGATATCAATGGTAAAGAGACGATTTCTAGTCATATCAACTTGGACTATCAATTCTCCTTCTTTATTTTTTATGGCAAGCGAACGATTCTTCATCTTCACTTCATATCCTTTTTTCAGGAGTTGACCAAGACTGATGATATTACTTTTAAACCAGGTACACAATAAACATCTGAAATGTATTTCTTTTCACCATTTCTCTGAGTAATCATGACTTCACCTTTTTCTTTTAGTTATGTGTGCGAGTCATCTCCGAAAGTTACTCGCTCATGGATTGTTTCATCTAATTTCACAAACAATTCCTTTTGTCCACACATATGGTTGCTGGAACAATTATCAAGATACCAAATATTTTTCTTGAATTCTTCATTTCCTTTATAAGTGAGGAATACATGAGATTTTTAAATTTTTTCTTCTTCAAATGCTGCTACGTTATTTCTTTCTTCTTGTTTAGGAGCAGATCTACACTCATAACTATAATGACCATACTTATTGCAATTATAACATTGTACCTGGGATTTATTTCCTTGTTGATATCTGCCACTACCTCAGCCTCTGAATCCTTGTCCACGACCTGATGTTGGATTATTTTCACTTATTTGATCGATGCCATATGATCGACCACCACGTCCACGAGTTCCTCATCCTCCTCTGTATCTTACACGATAACTACCATGATTTTCTTGACCTCGTGTGTAGTTGCTGCTAGCTTCTCCTTCGTTGACATTCATCTTGCTTTATAGAGCTTGCTCCAAATTTTCAGAATCTTCATTTTGTTTCATTTTCTGCTCATGGGCTTGAAGTGAACCCACAAGGTCATCGATCGATATTTGGGATAAATCTTTCGATTCTTCGATTGCCACAATCACGTAATCAAATTTTCTTATTAATGATCATAAAATTTTTTCCATCAATCTAACCTCGTCGAGTGATTCACCATTTCTTTTCATTTCATTCACGACCGTTTTTACACGGCTAATATAATCATCGATGTTTTTTGTATTTTTCATTTTTAACATCTCAAACTCAACTCTAAGAATTTGTAAACGTACTTTCTTTTCTTTTTCGGCACCTTGGAGAGATTTTTACAAAATCTCCCATGCTTGTTTTGCGGTCTTCGTATCAGAAATTTTTTCAAAGGTAGATTCGTCTACTCCTTGAAAAATAAAGAACAACACTCTTTTATCTTTTTTCCGGGATTCCTTCAATACCATCTTTTCTTCATTGACAGGGTTGTTTCTACTACTGCATTTTTAGGCTCGGTGTAACCATCCTCGATGATATCCCAACAATCTTGGTAGCCTAGTAACGCCTTCATTTGAATGCTCCAATTGTCATAATTCCTCTTTGTCAATCTCAGAATTTGAGGTTGAATCATGTTGGCCATTTTTTCCACCACCTTAAACTCGAACCAAGCTCTGATACCACTTGTTGGAAATGTAGGTGGGCACTCGAGTAATTTTTCTAACTTTAACTCGAACTATTATTGATACGAGACAAAATATGTTATAACGACTTTGCCCAATATGATAACATTGTAACACTAATTGTGGCTAGTTTACAAACACAACCTCAATATTCTAAGCTTTGCTAAGCTCTTTCAAATTTTCTCTAGCTTTTCTAAGCTTTCAATCATATTTGTTTTTCTCACTTGTATTTTTTCCTTACATTGCATATATAACTAAGCTTAGGATACACACATACATATAGGTATAATAAATCTCCTCATATGCTTCTACAATCTTCTTGCCGCCATTTGCTTGTTTGATTTTCCTTATGTTTGCCGTGTAAGTTCCTTGTCTGCTGCCCACTCATATTATAATATTATTAGCTTAATTTCTAAGTAATTCGTGAAGTTTCCTGAATTGATTGTCGCCTCAAACCTTCCTTCATGTGGTCATTATACTTTGCTTGCCTTTTTGAAATTCTTCACTTTTCCAAAGCCGTAATTTTTGACTTTGTTAGAATTAAGTTTGATTTCTAACATGAATCAATTTCTTAATTCAAAGATAAATAATTATAGAATATTTCCAACATAGAGACTATTAAAGTGGCCTTGCAAGAGTTCACAAATGCTTATTCTTTGGAACCATTGGTCCTCCTTAAGTAAGTATTGGTTAATTTTAACTTTAACATATATAATTTTAAATTTGACTATAATAAAAAGACAAAAATATAATTTAACTGTAATTAATGTTTTTTATTAATTGAAGGGATTATAGGTGTTAGTATTGGTTTTGAATGGTCTTAACTATTTGACAATGAATATTTAAATACATGTTGCATTACGTAGATTATGTAAATTAATATTATTGTTTAAATTGAAAACTACAATTTCAAATAAAAAGATTTTGCATGAATTAAACGATTTCAGTGGTTAAAAAGATAATTTTAATCTTTGGAGATTTCAAGTTCAAATGTCGTTGTAAGCATAAGTATTGTCGAGACGGTATTTCGTCCGGCGAAAACATATGTCGTTGCTTTCTAAATCTTGTCTCGAAAAAGTAAGTGTTTTTCTTTTGGTATAAGATAAAACACAATTTGTGGAGTCGCCACCAATCATTTATCGAGGTGTGTTTGGTCACCAAAATTGCTATGTTATTTTAATAAAATTTATAAAAATATTATTAAAATAACACGAAAAGGGTCTGCTTACCAGAAAATGCGTTCGGGAGTCGGTTACGTGTAAGGAAAGATTAGCACCCCACAACGCCCAAAATAGGTACCTTGTTTATTAATTAACGTATTTGCAATAAATTTAACAAATTTATATTTAATTTCAATTTATAATCCCATTATTCCATATTTAATCGCATAATTTTATTTAAAGAAAATTCTAAGAACATTCTAAAAATTAAATATCAAAATAAATATAATTAAGTTAAACATATTTTAATTTTTAGGTTTTTATAAACAAAACATTTATTTTTAAATATTAAAATATGACATCTAGTTATGTTAAGACAATTCTTTCTTAATATTTAAAAATAAATATTATCATTTAATCAAATTATGAAATTGATCAAGTAATGCTTATGAATTTTTCATATATATTCATAGGACTAAAATAAAATAAATAGAAAATAAAGTGAAATAAAAGTATTGCAATATATTTGTCACAATAAAAGATTAGAATGAAAAATATAGAAATTTAAAAGCTATAATATAAAGAATAAAGAATAAAGACATAAAAATTAAATGAATTCTTAAATTAAAATTGCATAAAATAAAAGTATTAATATTAAAAAAATAAAAACTTAAATATAAATAAAACAAAAAGGGCACAAAATATTACTATAAATAGGGACGAAAATAAATAGAAATAAAGTTAGGAGGTCATATTAAAAGTTAGTGAAATAAAATGGATAGAAATAAAGACCAACAAATTTTGGAAACCACTCTCATGATTATCCCCTAAATTAATGACTAAAATGATAATAAAATAAAGAAAAGAGATCAAAATAAAAGAAAATAAAAATATAATAGCTAATTGTGAAATAATAAAAAAAATAGAGAAAACAGTGACTAAATTGTAAATAGGCTCCTAAATTAGAGGGATTATTTCGTGATTTTCCCTATTTTAAGTGAATAAAGTAATGGACTCCCAAAGTGTAGGGACCTGACGTATGGTTTACCCAAAAATTTTATAAACTTAAAACTATCTTCTTCCTCCTTATTTCACACGCAAAACACCCTAAAACTTTCAACTCTTCTTTTTTCTGTTATTTATTTAACTTACTTTTTTTCGAAAATAAATAAAAATAAAATATAAAGCTGAAAAAATAAAACCAAATGTAAAAATAACCTTTGTAGTGTTTTTTTCTTTTTCAATTTGCTGTGTATTTCTCTTGATTTTTCTGTGTGTTTTACATATTGTTCTGGGGTTTTTATAGCCCCAATTTATAAAAAAAGAATCAAAGATGATTTTTTCTTTCTCCTTGTATGTGTGGCTGCTATAGAGGACCAACTATTGTTGGTGGAAGCTGCTAGAATTTGTTGTGGTGGAGAGGGCTCCTGGGTTACTTGAAACGTGGAGGGGCTGCTGGGTTGTTTGAAACGTGGAAGGGTTACTGGATATGAAAGATAAAAAATGATGATTACAAGTATCTCATGAACCCAATGGCCAATGCCTTGTTGGCCCATAATTAAAACATTAAAATTGTTAAATATTGATAAATGATATTGATTATAAGAAGATATATTAGGCAGGAAGATCCAATTAATACATTCCTTAAAATTAGCAAAGTATTAAACAAAATGCAAAAACAATTCTTAAAATTTTTATTAAAAAGTTAATGAATAATAAAAATTTTAGATTTTCCCCAAATTTAGAGAATTAATATAATTATCTCTCCCCAGCCTCACGTGGCCCCTTAACAGTTTTCTTTGGAGGAAGCTTCGTGGAAGCTGCATTCAAGTAACTCCTACCCTGACCACACTATATTATCTTACTTTCGAACTCATCGACATATGTTCTGAAACGGTTGATTTTGTCATTCTCTACACTATTTTTCTCTTCTTCTTCTTCAAATTTGAATACTTTGCCTTGTTTGTTTGGCAAAAGAGAAAGGAAATGGCATCTGTATCAGAACCATGTGTAATGGCGAATTGGAACCTGAAGGGATGGAGCAAAGAGAATCGCCATGGAAGGACTGCACATAACATGTCTTCATCTTCATTGCGTAAGAAGTCCGACTTGACCCTTGTTTCCAAGGTTCGATGTGAAACCCTTAGGCGGTTGTTGGGCAATCTTCAAGAGGTCATTCTAGGAACTAAACTCTCGGTTCTCTTCCCCGCTATTCCATTGGCTATTGTTGCTCACTGTTATGGGTTTGCAAGAGTCAGTTCATTTCCCCTTTGCTTCTTTGTTTAAGCAACGTTATATTGATCATATTTCAAACTTATTTTGTTTGATATTTGTACCGACATTTTATGATCTTTTGTTGTAAACAGGCTTGGATTTTTGCGTTGAGTTTAATCGGACTTACACCACTGGCTGAACGAGTTAGCTTTCTCACCGAGTAAGCCAGATTTATATTTGTGTTACAGAGAATATTACTCTCTTTATCTCCTTGAGTCATTGAACGTGAATTTTTTTCATTTTTAAAATTATCTTATCTTATTAAAAATTTAATAAATAATAACACCAATATTCCTTTTTTATCTTTATATATTTCGTCTTTACCTATATCAAAATAAATTTATCAATTTTTTAAAGATAATTTATCATTTTTTAATTAAATAATCTCCTACAACTATTTATTTATCAATTATTTTTTGTGACCGTTTTACTATTTATTAATTATTTCTGTTTGAGTGTAACGTATGTTATATTATATAATCTACTTTTTTAAGTCTAAAATGAAGTTGACAAATATTCTTTTGATTTCTGTGATATATAGGCAAATTGCTTATTACACTGGCCCAACAGGTAAAAGTTATTTTCCTCTTATTTACTTAATTACAAAATACTTTAAGTCATTAAATTATTCGAATGATTAAAAAAGCGTTGTTCTTTTAGAGTTATAGACTTGAATAATTGCGTCTAGAGAATATATTTTGTGAATGAATAAAAATTATTTTAAATAGGGATTATTTTGTAATCATTTTATATTAATAAAAAATCTATAAAATTCTTAATAATACTTAAATATATTTTCATTATAACATTTATTATTGATTTCTTAATTATATAATCTTATAATTTTAACTTTTTATCATTTTAAATTTATTATTAATGAAATTATAAAACATATATTTTAAAACTCTCCGAATAAGTTGTGTTTAATTGAATATTTTATAAAGTTTAATTATTTGAAATATTTTAAATAAGTATGATTAAAGTTTAAAAAAATTTAATTATAAAAAAACAATAAATAATTGTGATGGGACTGGAGTTTAATTTTAATGTAGATTCCACTATATCTGAAAACTCATGATTATACTGTATATATGACAGGATATAATGAATATGTATTAAATAAAAGCTGAAGCAGCCATTTATGATGGATTGAGGGGATAATTTTTATATTTTAAATATTTTTATATTTTTTCTGAAAATTTATTTTTGTTTTTATAAAATTTTATAAGTTTATTTCCTAATATTAAATTTGATGTGTGTTCTTAGACGTAATATTGATGAAAATTAATGTTTGCAGTGGGAGGGCTGTTGAATGCAACATGTGGGAATGCTACAGAGGTGATCATAGCAATATTTGCACTTAGCCAAAATAAAATAGAAGTGGTTAAGAATTCCCTTCTGGGTTCAGTCCTTTCAAACCTGCTTTTGGTTCTTGGGACCTCTCTCCTTTGCGGCGGCTTTGCCAACCTCAGATTGGAACAAAAGTTTGATAGAGTTAGTACCTACTTCAACTGTATCTCTATCTATCTATATATATATATATATATATATATATCAAATGTATATAATATGGTGTTAAGCATTGTTGAATTTGACAGAGACAAGCGGATGTGAACTCTCTCCTTCTATTGCTTGCAGTTTTATGCCATTCACTGCCATTGTTGTTTCGAATGAGCGGGGAACCTGATGCCGTCACTGCAGACCCAACGCTGCAGTTATCGAGAGCCAGCAGCATCGTGATGTTGATTGCATACCTTTCTTACCTGATTTTCCAGCTATTCACACACCGGCAATTGTTTGAAGCTCAAGAGGTAGTTCAATCTACGTTCTCAGCTTCTAAAAGCCTGTTTCTCCCATTAGCTTACACAAGTCCTTTGTTTTGTATCAGGAATCAGAAGATGACAACAATGGAGAAGAAGAACCAGTGATCGGATTTTGGAGTGGATTTATCTGGCTGGTTGGAATGACTGCTGTCATCTCTTTGCTCTCCGACTACGTTGTACAAACAATCGGGGTAATTAATACATATACAAGAATGATATGAATACATTCACTTGTTTTAACATACTATGTATGTACCATATGAATTTTGCACTTACCATATGCAGTATGCAAGCTAATGGAGCGTTCCAATTTTGTTACTTATAATAGATCAAAGGGTGTTCCATTCAAAAAAAAAGAACAAATGCCTTTTTTATGAAAAATCGACTAAACTATATGAGAAAATAAATTTCAGGATGCCTCGGATTCATGGGGAATATCTGTATGTTTCATTAGCATTATTCTACTACCGATTGTTGGAAATGCAGCAGAACATGCAGGAGCAATCATTTTCGCTTTTAAAAATAAGCTGGTCAGTATTAATAATAACAATACTCTTTTTCTTTCTTTCTTAATTTTTACCAATAAAAAGATTATGAAATTGAAATAATTGCAGGATATTTCTTTAGGTGTTGCGTTAGGATCTGCAACTCAGATTTCCATGTTTGTGGTAAATCCCAAATTTACAATTATTCAAAGCTTTATCTTTTAGAATCTAGAATTTGTGATTTTTTTAAAATAACATTTAATTTGTGATTCAGGTCCCACTTTGTGTTGTTGTGGCTTGGATTATGGGTATTAAGATGGATCTCAACTTCAATCTCCTTGAAACTGGTTCTCTCGCTCTCTCTATCATTGTCGTTGCCTTCACTTTACAAGTAATTTTATTTTCTTTCTGGACCAATTGCATTTTACATAGTCATTAAACATGCTATATTATGAATATATTGGTCAAATTTTATTTTGGTCCTCCTATTATTTAAGTCCCTATACTTTAATTTGACATAACTTGGTCCTTTCCTTTCATAATGTAGTTAGCTAGTCCAAATATTGCACTCTATCGTCAAGTGGCTTCAGTAGTAAAAGGAAATGTTGTTCCCTTAGATGTTGAGATTCTGGGTTCAAGTAATTGTGTATGCAGGGTTTGTATGCATTGTTAATTGGTGAAAAAAATTCTGAATAAATATTATCTTGTAATCACTCCAAACAGTTAAAAGAAACAATATATTTCACTCATTGTTAAATGTTGATGATGTTGAGCTCAAATCTTGCATTATTATGCATGGTAGGACGGCACTTCTCACTACATGAAGGGGCTGGTGCTTTTAGTGCTCTACATTGTTATTGGAGCTTGCTTTTTTCTATCCAAAACACCACCAAGTAAGGATTCATTTAATTCCCATCGTTTCGAACTATTAACACATGAGAAATTTATTTATATTTTCCCATTTTTCATGTCAGATCCTGTGAAGAACGGAAACTCAGAAGCTAAAACAGCCATTGACGCAATCTTCAGCGCTTGACAAGTAAGTGTTCACTTTAAAACAATTATTATGAAATTTGTAAAGACTAACTAGAGTTTAAATTACTAATGAATGCAGGGTTTGACATGTTGGGGACAAAGATTTCATGCAATCGTTTTTTTTTTTTTTATGTCGTGGCCAATTGGAAAGCTGACAAATGAAGCATACCCTTGAAAGCTTGATGAAGATAGGCTATATGAGTACACAGTATATATACTGTTTTGTCTCTGTATATATATATATCTCTCTCTCAGCATGTGTGTGTGTTTTAAGTTTGAGGTTTGCTGCTAATTTATTCCCTCAAAGTAGTACCAAATGAGCTATTGTAATGCAAGTTTATAAAGAAATAAATGAAATCCTTGTTTTCTTTTTCTTTTGGGAAATAGGCCTATAATTCCATTTAATTTCAAAAGAATAGGTGATAATTAAAGACATATAATCATTTAAATTTTCAATATTTGTTGTTATTATCTATTGTTATTTTTTTATTGTTATTATTTAATTTTTAAATTATTTATTTTATCATTCATTGTTGATAATGTAATTTAATTGTGATTCTTCCTATACAAGTCCTTCAATCATTTTTAATAAACATAGTTTCAATTCATTTTTTATGTTGTTTCATTATAGAAATTAGATCCTAAAATATTCTCACAAAAAAAATATTTTTTTCTTCTCCTACTTCACAAACGACATTTTTGACTGTCAACGCAAACAACTCAACATCTACAATCACTATTGTTTAATTCAACTTCCTTGCCTAATTACCAATAAAACTCACTGGTAGGCAAAATTTCACCATTTGAAAAATTCAAATTGAAATGTTGATTTGTACACAACCTATATGACTATCTTGATGGCACAACAAATGCACCACCTACAATATTCACCATTGAAAATCAAATCACTCCATACCCAACCTACCAAACCTGATTTTGTCAAGATAAACTAATTTAACATGTCATTTTAGCTTCCGTTGAACATACTTTAATATCTGTCGTAGGAATCACACCTAGTACTCATAAAACATGATAATCACTACATACAACTCTTGTCAATAAATCTAAAACTCAGATTCTCAGTCTTCAAGATAAACTTGCACGTGTCACTAAAGATGCTCGACCTATTAGTGATTACCTTCGTAAAATTCAATCTATTACAAATAAGCTTGCCACCGCAAGTGAATCAATCTTCAACACTCTTCTTATTGTTCGGATCCTACGAGGTCTTGGTCCTAAGTATAAACACAACTTTATCACCATCAATTCTCGTGAAACACCCATAACTTATGAAGAGCTTTATGAAAAAACTCCTTGATCATGAAATCTTTCTACATAATGAATATAACAAGAACATGCTAGTAGCACCCGTTAGCCAATGTTGCTCAAAACTCATCCTTCTCACCATCACGTTATTATAGTAATTGTTGACATAATTATAATAGCAACTACAATTGGTACACCTAATCTTGCCGTCCACTGCATATGTAACACCCTTTATCCAACTTAAAAGAAGTAGATAGATCCAGAAAGTCCACCTTGTAACTTGTCCCTCAACAAAATCATGTTAAATTCAAACCTTAAAAATTAACATTAATATTATAGAAATGTTTCTCAAGTTAAAATTTCATAATTTTATTAAAAACAATTGCCCTTGTGTAGTCTGATATAAATTATAAATATTTAAAAAGGCATGCATAAGCAATTCAAAAATTAATTATAATGTCCAAAGTCCCAAACTACATAAATAATAATAATCCCAAATAATAAATAAAATAAACAAAATAAATGACCAAAGAATCTGAGTAACGTTCATACTGAAAATAGTTTTATCTGAAAGTGATGTTACACTCTAAGTACAAGGTCGCGTAAATACAAATATCTGAAAGAGAGAACTATGGGGGTGTAAGATATTGAGTTGTGTCTTTAAAGTGCAACCAAGCACTCAAATCTCAAATCACAAGTCATAATCACAATCCGAATCAATAATATTCATGGTATGAAAATATACAAATGTAAATGCACACAAACACATTACATTGTTCGAAGAGTAGGTTCCCCAGAACCACTCTCAACTAACACCATCTAAAGTGGAAGTTCGTCTCGAGGGGTGGAGCCATTGATAATACAAAGTGAAATTCACCCCATATGGTGAATTCACTGAACTTCTCCGATGATAAATCACAACCTAGTGTGACATGTACCAAATTTTATCCAAATTCTGATATGATTTGAATGTAAAAATCACATATACATATAATATTCGAGTGCATCGTATAAATTACGTATCTGACGATCAACATACATCATTGAGCATTTTCTGAATAAAATATCAAAAATCAATAACTACAAAACAATCATGCTCTTAAGTTAACATCAATTATTTCAAACAATTAGAACAACACAGAAAATTTAACACTAGATAGATACACATTAGCAAAATAACTCTAACGACGAATTTGACAATTATCATGCCCAACTCTATCAGTGGATCGTACTGAATCATCTCTTATACAATAAATAATATTAATTTATTATCTTAATATAATGTTAGAATGTCACACTCTAAGCATTTAATTTAAATGATATTTAATCAATTGATTTTTTTGGTGGACTAAATTGCAAGTTTTTAAACCTTAAGAGTTGTTCGGCAACTTGTTTTTAATTATGGACCTAAACCCAAATTTACCCATCCTTTCTAGCCATAAAAAATAAATGAAAATGAGGTTCATAAACATTGAACCCACAACCAATGTAGTAAGGTTACTAACGCCTCTACCATTTAGACTAAAGCACTATTGAGTTATAATTTATTAAAACTATTTTTTTTTTGTTTATATGGATAAAATCTAATACACCAAAATCATCTTCCTCTTTAAGAACCAATACCTAGAAAATCCCTCACCGCCCCTCGTCATTGTAGCTCCGGTCGCTATCTTTTGTCGTCAGTGAAATGCAATGTCGCCACTATTGTTATTGCCGTCAACCCGTAACCAAAACCCGATTGACCACACTTAGACATGCATAAAGTCGGATTTAAATCCGATCCTGATCGGATAAAAATCGATCCGGTTTTTTCACCTAGTCAAAAAACGGGATTTTAAAAAACCCAGTTTGGAGGGCCGGATGCTGTAACCGGTTTCGGTTTGAAAAAAAACGATTTTTTTCAAAAATCGATTTTTAATCCGGTAAAAAAATCGGTCGTCTAATTTTTTCCCAAACCGGTTATATTAACGGCTAGTTTTTTAAACCCCAGACCGGATTTTTTTGGATAAAAAACCGGCTTTTTATCCGGTTTTTTTCAAACCGATTTTTAATTCGGTAAAAAACCGATTGTTCAATTTTTTCCCAAACCGGTTATACTATCCGATTTTAAAATATCCGATCCGGTTAAAAAAAACCGATTTTTCCTAAATCCGGTTTCGGATATTTTTTGTGCAAAATCGGATATTCGGATTTTTTGTGCACCTCTAAACACACTCCATGATTCATCACAGAATATAGTGGAGAACCATTGGAAGGCTAATCAGAAAACCAAGCCTTTCCTCGATTTTTCCTCAATTTCTATCGATCTCATCCCCGTTGCACCATACCGCTGCTACAACTGGAATCATAGAGCTGATCCAATCAATACCTAAACAGTTTCATCCAACGTTTTTACTTTTTCATCATGCATCGTTCGTCCGTCGTGGGTAAGACCTTCGATAACCATTTCATTTTTTCTTCGTGTTTCTGGTTCGTCTAGAAGTTAAGAATTTTGAGGAATACCCCTCACACTGCTGTAGAAGTCTCGATCATCATTTTTTTGCCATTGCACATGCTTCCATTTGCCACTCATGTGCGTGGGTCTCCTTTCTGGTCAATAGTCTTCTAGAAACCTGTATGAGTCAACTCAAATTGAATTGTGTCAACTCGAACCAGTATGAATTAACTCAAATCAATCTAACCCGTTGACCTTGACTGAATCGTTAACTTTGAATGAATGGTTGACTTTGACCTGACCCGTTTACTCAAATCAATCATATTTTAGGTTTTTTGACTTCTTAAATTTGATTTTGTGGTTCGTTTCACTAAATTATAAACCGAAAGCCCTTTGTTGAGTTAATCGATCAATGAAATTGGCCAAGAGGGGGGTGAATTGGCAAAATAAAAATTTCGGTGGAAGCTTTGCAGAAAATTGAAAGTAATTACGTAACGATTTAGAGTGGTTCGACTTTCTCAACCAAAGTCTACGTCCACTACCTTAGCTATCCACACTAAGGATTTTCCACAAATTCACTAATTTGTCTTTCTTTTGAGGACAAAGAGTAACCTTACAAATCCCTCAAGAATTATACCCCAAATTCTTGAGAACACTCTCTCTCAAAGAGAACAATACAAAATTTGTAAACTTACAAGAAAATCCTCACGAGGCAAGATGTTTGCACAATTATACAACAAAGAAAGAACACTCAAGAATAATACAATTGAGCTCAATAAGTGTTATTGAAAGCAAAAATGAATATTGAATGAAATAGGCTTGAAAATACTCAAACTTGAGGTTTGATGCTTTCTCTTTGATTCTCTCTTGATTCTTGTTGATTGTTGTTTCTTATATTTGATAAATGGCTTCTAAGCTTGTTTAAATACTCCTTCAATTGATTCTGAACGTTGGGGATGATTAGTGGAGTCAATGGAGCTGTTTTAGTGTGAAATCAATTAATAAAACAGCTTGGAGCGTGGGGGAATCGGTACCCCCCATGGGGAATCGTTTCCCTAAGTGTAAAATTCAAATATTTCGACTGTTAAACAGGGGGAATCTGTTCCCTCCGAGCATTATGTTTTTCTCGGAGCCAAACCATTCAGGGGGAATCGGTACCCTCTTGGGGGGGGGATCGGTTCCCTCTGAGCAATCTGGAATTTTTTGGTTTTGAAATGGTTCGAAATAATTTGTAAAATTGTTTTGAAATTATTTTAAGATTAAAACTTAATTTTACACTTGAGTAAGGATTAAAAATGACATTTGAAAGATTTGGAGTAATATTTTGATATTCGAATAATTATATTGAATATACTCGGAAAATCTTTTGGAAAATCTTAAAATTCATTTAACTTAATTTGTTATATCGAAATATCAAAATGTTTTCAACAATCTCCCCTTTTTGATATAACAAAACATTTTAGAAATTTTAAGATTTTGAAATCAAGTTTTGAAATTATTCCCCCTTACTCTAACACTTCTCCCCTTTAAAAACACTTTAACATTTCTCTCCCTTT